GTACTCAGGAGACAGAGTTCTTTCAAAACCTGTGATATAAAATGCAGGTCCGTATTTAAAAAAGTTAATTTGGTCTCTGTATCTCACAAATTATCATCTAATTTGAAAATCTAAAAATACTACCAGATAGCCCTAATAAAGTGGCTATGAGAATATGCAATTAGTTTTTTGATTTTCTAAAAAGTAACGACAGGAAAAATAAATTTGATTTTCAAAAACATCCGTTTTTTCCAAAAAACTCAGCAATCCTTGAAATTTTTAAATCTTTTTTGATAGCATCTTGATGAACATCCCATAAGGCGCAACTTTGCCCCAATTTAACCATCTTCGTAACTATTACGGTTTCCGAGATACAAATGCTCGTACCTCGAATTTGTAGCACCCTGTATAGGGCAATACTGATTTATGGATGCGAATCTTGGCGTCAAAACCAACGTCAAAGAAGCAAAATACAAGCAATTTAAATGAAATACCTCAGAAGGGTCAGATGTGTGACACGAAAAGGTAGAATAAGGAACGATATAATACGAGAAAATTTACAAATCCAATCAATGCAAGAATTTATAGAACAACGACAATTGAGTTGGTAGGGACATTTACAAAGAATGAATAACGACCGGTGAAGAAAATATGGCAAGCAAGGACTCAAGGCAAAAGAAATAGAGGCAGACCAAAAGAAACGTGGAATAAAATAGTTGAACATATTTTACAAAGAAAGGGAAGTACGTGGGCAAGAGCAAAACAATTGGCAGAAGATGATGATCTATGGCAAGAAACCATGAATATGCAACTCAGACATTCTCATGGGTAAAATGTAATTTTTCGATTATACAGGGTGTCCCAGAAATAAGTGCAAGTATTTTAAGGGGTGGTAGATCTCGATGAAAGAAAGATATTTTCTCTTTATCGTTTTTCAAACAAGTCAAAAATAACGGAATTATTTTACTCTGAAAATTTCCAAAAAAAATGTTTTTTTGCTAAAATTTTGAGAACCACTGGATCTTTTCTGGATTTTCTTTCTTGTAAATTTAATCTACTACCAATGTTGCCATATTATCAAAAAATTATGTTTTTTAACTAAAAAATAAAACATTTCCAAAAACAAAATTAAAAAAAAATCAGAATTTTCAAAATTTTGTTTTCGGGAAAAAAACCTCATAGGCGTGTTTCTGGGATTGAATATACTACCAATTAAAATACTTGCACTTATTTCTGGGAAACCCTGTATATAATATATATTAATTATTTTTTGAAAATAAAAAAATTCTGGATACGACGCTGTCTTTATAATTTCAATTTTGAAAAAAAAATATCTTAACAGTAGGCAAGTTTATTACTTTGGCGATGATCTTTACACTCTTAATTATTACGATCTGACACCAAGTTGTAAAGAAAAACAAGATGCTTAGTTACTGTTTTCAAGTTAATGTTATCGCAATTAATATTTTTTGTAAAACAAATTGTTTTTGTAACCGTTGTGATGTTAATGTAACCTTTCGAGGACATCTCAATAATATTTTTTCCATAAAATTATGTTATCATATTTGTGTCTTTTTCCAAGAATAAATAATTCAATTAAATTATGAATTAATATTTCCTGAAACTATTTTCGAAAAAAAAGTTTGGAAATAGACTTTTTTATACAGCATGAGTACTAAATGAGTGCAAATATTTTCAGGGCTAGTAGATCTCGATAAAGGAAACATACTTTCTCTTTACCGTTGTTCAAATAAGTCCAAAATAACCGACTTATTATACTTTGATAATTTCCCAAAAAAAGTGGTTAAATTTTGAGAACCAGTGGATCTCTTCTGGGTTTTCTATCTTGTAAATTTAATCTACTACCTATGTTGCCATATTATACTGTTGTTGTTGTTGCCATAACTAAAATATTTGCACTTATTTAAGACTCACCCTGTATTGTTGATATTTTTTCTAATGCTCTTTTAAATATGTACTCACTTTAAAAATGGGGATAAACAATATCTATTTGAATTTAATTCAGTTTGTTCCATCGGTACTATTTCATTCTTGAAAAATAATCAAGTCTTATTAAGTCTACTACAATCACTTTTCATCACACTATCTGATGTCGCTTTACTACAAACCCAATTAAATATAAAAGTAACAGTACACAACCTGGCTATTTACATTGAAAATCTGGGATTATCTTTCGTAGGAATTGTTTTCTATGATGCTTTTACCTTTTCACACTGGCAAACAAATACGAAACACAGGAAACGTTTTTCAAGTCTTTAAATTCTTACATTTTTGTTAGCTTTATCAGGAGAAATAAAATATCAACTGAAATTTGTTGTATTTCCAGAAATTGAATGAAATTGCTTATAAAGGCAGTGTATTTATTATAATGATAGTATTTAACCTAAAGTTGCTTTTTCTTTTCATCTAATATTAATTACCTATATACCCGAAAAAAAATCCAAGAGGATAATAAACATGTCATGTTCTGAAAATAACTACTAATACCAAATTAGCCACAAATGTTAAAAGAAAAATAAAATGAGTCAGTTTTACAAGAGTTACAGTATTCATTAATAGAAACTGTCGGATCATACATCAAACAGTATTAATTGCTGAATTTATTGAATACTTAATTGTTTTGTGACCGATTGTTCGTTATAGTAATTTATGTTATTACTGTAACCTCGACTGTAACACATACTTTTTAATGATTAAAAATATCTGAAAATAACAATTTTAATAAGAATTTACAACATAGTTTGAAGGTAGAGGAACTTGTTTGAGTGTTTGCCAAGGAATTTAGTTTCATAATATAAATATTTTACAGAAACTCTAACAGGTTTATATAGTCCAAATATGTTCTAATTTAATGGGCTTAATTTAATCAAGAAGCAACTACAAAGTCGAAAAATTGTCGAATGTGACATCGGCAAAAGTATTACATGCGGCAACCATTACCATTTTTCCTCATTTATTTGAAGCAATTTTTTATAAACAAAATCAGCATGTTGTGGGCTTGGATAAGCTAATGATTTTTAAAATGAATAGATAATTTTTTATTTTTTCCTATATGATATTAGCATTATCTATTATATTCAACAGTATAAGTTAAGATACGAATACCAAAAAAGCAAATTTTGGACTTTGGAATTGCTAAACCCTTGGAGATAACAACTTTTTATATCAGATATTGCCCAAAATATAGTATATTTCGGAAAAAAATGTTTTTATGACGTCACAGTCCCTAAAGTTTTCGTCTTAGTAGTTGCTAATATAAACTTTTTTTTATAGAAGTTGTTTCAGTATGTAGTCCTATTCCGATAGTATGGTAAAAATGGTATGCTTTTGGAAAAAGTAGTAAGTATTACGTAGTAGTACATTGGACATTTTTAATGTTCCAAAAGTGGCTTAGGTTGTGAACAGCCCTTAATGAATTTTCAATCAACCAACTGTGATATACTATTTACAACTTAACAACTATACCTAGAGACGTGAGAAATATAAAATAACACGACCTGTGCTATCCCCAAGTCTCTTCCTATATTTGTACAACTGTACATGAAAACATTTCCCAGGTGTCAAGATTACTGTTGTACAGTTACCTACTGTTTTAAAGTTACAATGTAACTCTGTACAAAGATAGTACATTTTGGGTTGAACATAGCCTGATTCTACACGAGCAGTTAAAACGCGATAGTGCCCTTGCTATCTTGCATAACGCGATAGCAAGGGCACTAAATTTCAAAATATCACATGCCTGTAAAAATAAAACAATATAAACGCGATTGTTAGACAGCGACCAAAAGGCTGGATTCATTCTTCATGAGCAGTTGAAACGCGACTATAGTCTGTTCAACGAGATCCCTGACAGTGACAGTTAAATATCTGTCATTTCAAAACACAGGTAGTTTGATTTTGTGAGATTTTTTCGATGTTGTCTATCGGAATCTTCCCTGATTCGTTGGACAGGCTGTGCCGCGTTTATAATGGTAGCGGCCACTGGCTGACTCAACGCCTACGAATGAAGCAGCTCATGTAGGTATACTCTGTTTTTTTGTCAGGTAAGATTTCGACAGACGATGGCAGAAAAAAGCAAATGACGTCCATACCAATCCATTTATTTAACTAAAAAAAGTTTCTAATATTTTTTAAGTTATCTACTATGGATGGGTTTATATATAAATCCGTCATGCGTCATCTCTTGTTGTTTTTAACCAGTTTTATTACTTTATTTAAAAAATGACAGATCATATTTCAATTTTATTGGTTTAACGGAACGATGAACGACAAACGGACGCCGGCGCCGATGCGTATGAATTCGACTTAAAATTTTTGAGAGTTGTCAAACTCTTGCCAAATTTTAGGTTATAATTTTGTGTCAAATTATGTTTATCATTTCTATCGAAATGATAAATATTTTGCATTTTGCATTTTGGACTGTGTTAATACGTGTGTTTTGTTACTTTTTAAAATTAACTGGAGAAAAACTCAAAGGGGAAATTAAGTGTTGACCCAGACCATAGTTTACAGTTAATATTCGGTGCCCAGAGACAGCTTGCCAGAGACTATGGCCAGAGAGTTGTATTAGCCACAAATAAAGTTTGTATACTATCTTGTATATGATATCAAAAACTGGAGTATCTGTAAAATAGCAGCACACAATAGGTAAATAATAATCATATTGAATAATCATATTGATAAATGTAACAATAAATGCAATAATAAGTTTCTCGAGCTTGAAACACGGCTTCAAAGTAGGAAATCTTTTTTTATATCTTTTTTTTGGTATGTGGTATTGGTTGGTAATCACTTGTCACTCAAACTTTAAATATATTAATTTTCTGCTGTGCGTTCCAATTGTACCATCTTATTTCTTTATAAAATAAAATAAACTACTTTGAAAATAAAATGACAGACCCGTCTATCACTGCCAAGGATCTTGTCGCTGGACAGACTATAGTGTCGTTTACGTAAATAAGTTTTCTTGTCGCAAGTTGCAAATCAGCCGCGTTTTAACTGCGCGTATAGGATCCGCTTTATCCTAAACCGAAATGAAATGCAACGATTATTTGTGCAGCATCTTAAAAAGCACCATAGAAAACGCATTTTTTCCTACTACCCCTCTCTTACACTTTAGTCCATCAAAACAACACCTCCACCTCCATTAGTTACGACATATGCGGACTGGGACTGCGCATCCCTCCTCTGCTAGGCGATGGTAGGTGCGGGGGTGGAGGAGGAGGCGGCGGTGGTTGGGGCGCCAGCAGCCCCAGTGGCGGCATGCCTGGCCTGGGGCCTAACAACGAAGCGAGGGGGTGGGCGCCCGGCCCGAAGTAGCCCTGCAACGCAGGATGGGGGTAAAGCGGATGAGGGTGGCGGGACAGGGAGGCCATTTTCAGCTTCTCGATTTCGGCCTCTTGGAGTCGTTTCGCTTTGGCTCGACGGTTCTGGAACCAGATTTTGACCTGAAACAAAATATAGAAAATTATATTTCAATCAGTAAAATGCGAGTAAGTCAAATCAAAACAGGCAGTTAAATATAGTTTTAATTATTGGAAAACAAGGATGCGCAAGCAGTTTAGTACTACAGCAGCTTCAGTACTACAACAGTTTCACACAAAGCCACTTGTGTCAGCCGGTGCTCTCCACCGGTAGTCAAATTTAGGAAAAGCGTTGTTTAAAATCTACATACACAGAAGAACCACTTTGCGGACCACGCTGCTTTTAGCTGGGTGACATTCGGTCCTTAGTATCTCGTCCTTGCCACTGGTGCGACCACTTGATGTCAATGTAGGACACAAGTGGCTACGTGTGAAAGTGCCCTTATGAACGAATTCGTGAAGGTGGATATAGACTGAGCGAACATTGTTAAACAACACACGGGTTCGTTCAACTGTTGCACAAAATTTGTACTGCTGTTGACAAACTGTATCCTGATGTTCGCTCGAAGAATGTTGAAAATATCCTGGATAGAACGAATAACAAATCTCGAAGTATTAGAAAGAATGTGAAGGACCAAGAACAACTATTGACTATAATAAAACGACGGAAATCAGCATTTTGGTTGCGGAATTTGCGCCCGTGGTTTAATATGGGAGAGGCCAGTGCAATTATGCGTTTGGCTCAAGACAGGGAGGAATTCCAATGGATGGTCGCCAACCTCCGATGAAGAGAAGGCACATGAAGAAGAAGAAGATGTTCGCTCCCTAGGAGGTACAACAAAGAAAATATAAACCCACATTTCACAAAAATATCTTAAGTATGTATGCTGCAATGAAACAAGCTTGATTGCAACTATTTTGGTGTCAGTATTATGTATATTTAAAAGGAAAAGACTGGCGCCGGCATCATAAAAATATATCACATAGATATATAGATATAGATTTAATTGAAATAGTTATTGCATTAATTGAAATAGTATTGTTGTGCGTGAGTGAATATATGGAATGTCGAACATTTAATTTGTAAAAACATAAATAAACGTAATGGCGCATGCAATACCATAGCTGAAACTTTAGGGACTTCGCGGAAAGAAGTTGAGCGAAGATGTCGATTAATAATCAACGCCGCTTTTGACGCTTTTTTCTTAGTTTTCTTTTAACTAAAATAAACGCAGCAATATCTTGTTTGTTATTCATTTTGCTGTAACTATCATCACTAGTGAACAGCTGGGTATCTAGCTGCTTGTACAAGCAACTATTCGTCAATATCTGGGCGACTTTTTTCAACAATTATGCCAGCAGCTGACCAACTGTTGTTCAACAATATTTGCGTGTTTGTTCAGCACTATTCGAAATATCCTACATTCTATATGAAAGAAGGCAAACAATACATGGATGTTTTTAAAAAATCGATGTTTCAATAGCAAAAAATCCAATTTCTTCCGATCTTCAATTAACGTTTTATTTTATTGCTATGGTTATTATAGTTACTATATTAAACAGTAGAGTATATTATTGAAAGCTGCTAAACATGTGCGTCGACATGTGTAGAATTCAGGTCGGTATGACAATAGAATGTTATGCTCTTATGAGTTTTGGTTCCTTTGATTTCAACTTCTTTTGTGATTCTCTAGTATTTTTTTTAATTTTAATACTGTAACGTTTTTAATTCGTTACATGTCTTTTTTATATATAATATATGATGTCTGGCCTATCAACACCGGATTCCCTCTCGTTCAGGCCGGATAGTTTATTTGACGCGTAATTTTTACGTTCCCTGGTCGCCAACCCTGTTATCGTTCGACACAATCCTGTTACTATTCTGTGGAGGCGCGCGCTGTCAACATCGCTTCTGTCAACTCTCCGTGCTTAACCTCACTTTGTTTTGACGCTCTGTTGTATCCCAGCTTTTAGAAATGGTGATTATTTAAATCTTGCTGTATAATCTGAATCAGCTGCTATTTCAAAGCAACAGGTAAAGATGAAATATTATCCTTATAGATTCGATATTATTATTGAATATATTTTAGGGTAGAGTTACGGATGTCCCAACTTGTATTTGTGTTTTGCTGGCACGTTGGCGTCCCTTTTCTTTTGTCCTCCAGAATGTCACATGGAAGAAAGGACATGTTGTTTATTATTTATTGAGCCCTCGGAAGTATTTCGAGGTAGGTTTATTTTGTTTATTAGACCTTGTTTGGTTTTAAACAAGAGTTTCATATTTTTAGGGTCCAAGATACGGACTGTGTCCAAGGTACGGACTATTTCCAAGGTACGGACTATTTCCAAGGTACGGACTATTTCCAAGATACGGACTGTGTCCAAGTGCCACAGCGTGGATGTAGCTTGAGTCCCATGCTGCTTCGTTCCCAGCTATAAGCTAGTTAGTTACGGGTGTATCAAGTTATGGTGTCCTCATTCTGGCCCCTTTGGTTGTGTTGGATGGCGGAGTACAGAGAAATGCGAGACCACCTCACGATGTTACTGTTTTAAGCAGGATTGCATAAGGAACAGCTAAGTGTAGATTTAAGTTATAGTTTTGCGTTTGACATTTGAAACATTTGCAGTCTTAAACAATAATGTACATCTTAAATAATATCGTATAGACTATGTTGAGTGGTTAGATTGTTAAGAACATTCATGTCGATTTAGTAGTTAAAATATAATTTAGATCTTAGGTTTTATTGCATTATGTCTTGTAATAGTATTACTTTTTTATAGATATTATTATTGCACTCTAACATCATATAAAATATATCAAATTAATAAAGTAATGCTACATTTCATACATTCTCTTAAACTTTACATTTCTTGTATTTTATCATAGTCGTTTTCATGGATATTTAGTACAACTCTTACCACCACTTTCTTTGACATATAACCACTACATATTCACTAGAACTCTACAATGTCATGTATCAGCAACGAACATCATGAATGAATATAGTCATTAGTTTTAAGTAATATACAACTGTGTTTTCTTTCTCTGTACATGCCTGGCGCCCAATATCTATTTTTTTGTTTATTGTTCTTAATTAGTTTTCTTTCCAGTGAAATACCTTATCCACGACTGCTCTCCGATGAAAAGCTGCCGTTCGCAGTGGTAGTTGTTTAAAAAACGCTACAATACAAATTTCATTCTTTCCAATGTCTTGATTTTTAAAATGATTGTCCCACGTTAAATTTTCAGTGAGCTGCTGAATCAATCAGTTCTGATAGTTATTTCAGTATAGTAACTTAAGGTAAGTGTCCATTTGAGAGTATTACTCGCGCGAGAAACTCTCGATAGTAGTTCTCGCATGTCGATACACGTCTGCGACTACCTATCGGAGAATATTCATTTTACTATCAATAGTTTACTCGCAACGATTTGCTCTCAAGTGTATACATATTATTTTTAATAGCGGATAGTTACTTCTGAAATACGATTACGTTTCGTATTGTGATAGTTCTAGCAGAGAATTATTAATTTAAAATGGCTGCTACTCGCAAAGAGTGGTCAAAAGACGATACTTTAATAAGTATATACGAGGAAAATACAGTTTTGTGGGATACCATGGGATTAACTAACTGCACTTTTATGTTTCTTTCACACTACACATATTATTTATTCATTTATTCATTCACTAACAAATTAAATGAAAAATTACAAAAATACAAACTGAATCAACACATACTAGAACTAACGGAAAGCTATTTAAAAAATCGACCACAAAAAATTTGCATGGAAAGTATTGAAAGTAAAACTACCATGGCGCCATATGAGATACCGCAAGGAGGAAATCTACCACCTCTCCTGAATATCCTTTATACAAACGATCTCTGCGAACTAGCATTAAATCATTAAATGGCATCATATATAAATATGCCGATGATACATGTTTAGTATATACAGGAACAGATCAGAACATCCTGGAAACAAACATCAACAAAGACCTGCCAAAGTGCAAACATGGTGCTACAACAATCTCCTAACCATAAACGAGCTAAAAACAGAATATATGATATTTAAAACCACAAAACAAAAATTAAACTTACAAATAAAACTACAAAACCATATTCTACGAGAAACATCAAGAATCAACTATTTAGGGTTAAAAATACAAAATAATTTGAAATGGGATCCTCATGTAGTAAAGCTGAAAAATGAAAATATACGCACAATTGCAACTTTAATAAAAATTCAAAGAATGATACCAAATAACATGAGGAAACCTTATATCGTGGGCGTACAGCGAAAATCCACTTTTTTGGTTGAATTGGATTAAACACACCACTATGTCCAGTTTTTCAAGGTCTTTAACATGAAAACCCCATTAAGTCCAATTTCGGCACCCTTATATTATATTATCTGTGTGCAGTTACGTACTTGTTTAACAACCTCATATATAGAGCGTCAATGTACAAGTCTGTTCTCATACATGAATATGGTCAGCTTTTTTAATAAATATTACTATTTAATTTCTTATATTTATGTTACCTGGGTTTCAGTAAGTCTCAAAGAACTCGAAAATTCTGCTCTTTCAGCGATGCTAAGGTACTGCTTGTCCCTAAATTTCTTCTCTAACGCCAGTAACTGCTGAGTTGTAAAGGGCGTTCTAGGTTTCCTGTTCGGTTTATGTTTCCTTAGGTTGCACTTGATTTTAGGTGGGTCCCCATTAACATCCACTGAAAAATAAAAAATAAAAGTTATTGTATTATAAACAATTTTTTTCTTATAAAAAAATAATAATTTATATAAACTAATCCTTAACGGAAATATTTTTCTGAATTTTATTTTTTTTTCTTCAAAAAAGTCTTCTGGGTATTTCGCCACTATGAGAAAATTTTCCAAACTAAATAGTTATTTATTGCAAACACCGCTGGCGTTGTTTCCAACAGAGACCAATTTATCAGCAGTATTTTACTAATAAAATAAATTTGCTTAATGGACCAAAAATACTTAACGTTTCAGGATGTATATCTTCTCCCGTCGTGATATACAAAAACATTGATGAAGTGTTTTTCTATATCGGATAATACACCACAAAAGGTTAATCTAAACGAGTACTTCTAAAATACTTATACTTTGTTTACTAATAACCTTTATAAACAAGGCTAATAGTAATATATATGAATCTGAATTTGGCCCTTCTTTTTCTTCTACTACTTATTTGAGATCTAGTCGATCTGTTAGTTTTAAGGTTGCCTCTGTAGGAGGGAAACATTTTCTATGATGATGTTGTAACGTTTTTAGTTCGTTACATGTCTTTTTTTATATATGATATATGATGTCTGGCGTATCGTCACCGGATTCCGTATCGTTCAGGCTTGATAATCTATTTGACACGCTTGGCGTAGTTTTAACGTTCTCTAGTCGACAACCCTGTTATCGTTTCACTGCTCTGTGGAGGCGCTGTCAACATCGTTCCAAGATTTCGCTCTCCGCGCTGTGGTCTCTTTTTCTTGGTTTTGCCAGCTGTCGCCATCAGCAACCCGGCTTAGAGAAATGGTAATTGTTTAAATCTTGCTGCATAATCTAAATCAGCTGCTATTTCGAAGTTACAGGGTAGAGTTTTGGATTAGCCCAACTTAACTCGTATCTGTATTTTGTTGGCACGTTGGTGTTCTTTTGCTTTTGTCCTCCAGAATGTTGAATGGAGGAAAGGACAATTGCTTTTGTTTATTATAGAGCCCTCGGAAGTATTTCGAGGGTCCTATGGTTGGATGCCCTATATACGGGTAGTTTTCCTATGGACGGATGTCCAAGATACGGGTAGTTTTCCTATGTATAGATTGCCTCAGTATGGGTGTAGCTTAAGCCCCATGCTGCCTCATTCCTATTTCTAAGCCTAGTCAGTAGTTACGGATATTTTGGTTCATGGTGTCCTTGTTCTAACCCCTTTCATCGTATTGGCCATCAGTGAAGTCGACAGACAATGCAGAGATACAAAGATGGGTTTGTATCTCTTAAAATCTATCTTAAAACGCTGTTACTGTTTGAAGCATGATTGTCTCAAGAACGAGCAGCTAAGTTTAATTATAAGTTCTGGTTTTTCATTTATAACAACATTTTCAGTCTTAAAGCAGTAAAATACATCTCAAATAATTTTCTGATAGTGGTTATTATAATATTAAGAATAGTGGTTATTATAATAATAGAATAATTATAAATAGAATAACCAAACATAGATTCTAGAATCCATATACGGCTTGGAACATCTTCGATTTGGCATCATGTAAAATATAGCAAGTTGGGTGAAGTAGTGCTACCTTTTTTTTATATTCGTAATAGCTCTATCTATATTGTATTTTTCCATAGTCTTTCATTGAACATATTTAATATTATTTTTAACATAACTTTCTTTGACATATAACCACTATTATTACTAGAGTTCTGCCGTGTAGAAAGAACCTATTCTAAGAAGAATTGCTAGAGTTCTACCATGTACGTAAACACCATCATGAATAAATATAGTCATTAGTTTTAAGTAATATACAACTGTGTTTTCTTTCTCTGTTCATGCCTGGTGCCCAATATCTATATTTTTTGTTTATTGTTGTTAATTAGTTTTTTTCTCCAGTGAAATACCTTATCCACGGCTGCTCTACCGATGAAAAGCTGCCGTTCGCATTGGTAATGTTTAAAAAAACGTTATAATGTCCATTAAAAGATCGAATAAGAAGGGGCTAAGGCTGTCTCCTTGTCTAATTTTGTCCTAACGTATCATATTCAAGTTTAAATAAATTAATTAGATCACTATTAATTATATTAGGTTTTTATATTTATCCGCAAATAAACACATTCCAAATCCAACGTCCAATATATTCCGTTATTTAAACCCAATTTCTAATTACAAATAATAAAACTCGTAATTAATTACAGTTTCTAGGAAATATATATTCTCCATTCAAGATAATCCATTACGAAGTGAAAAAAGCTATACTAATAATTCTATCGATAGCTATCGTTTAATGGATCATTATATTCGTTGCTGTTTCTAATAGGAATCCTTAATTGCTTGTTTAATTAATACCATTGCAAATTAAAATATGGGCAATTTGTCAAAGTGATAATTTGTTTTTCTAATCGGGCTTCTACAACACGCTAACCTAATAATTCAACAACCGTTGTTTACCGCAGGCGAAATATTTTGTTGGAAATAGTTTTAATAACAGTTATTAATTAGGTTGATGGGTGTGCCGTTTCGATAAATTTTTGTTATAATGGTTGTTGATATAATAAAGTTATTAATTATTTTGACAGGTCCCACTAAAGTTAGTTTATTTCCGCATAGTAGAGATCTTCCGCATAGAAGAACATGGAATTACCTAATTATGAATATCAGTATAAATGATTATTAACATTTTTTTTCTTTGTTTAATTATAATTTATATAAAAAATTGCATATAAATAGAAAAAAAGCAGGGCCGCAAAATTGCAAGAGTCTTGCACGATCGGTCTTTGTCTTGGTCTTGTGTAAATATTGCACTGGTTGGTCTTGGTTACGTCTTATAGATGTAAAGATAGTCTTAGTACTGGTCTTGGTCTTGCTTGAAGTGTAAGACCAACCACTGTGTCGCTCATCAACATTTTAAAGATAAACTTAACCATAATTTCCATTTTTATAAAAAGGAAACCAAAAAGTTTTAATCAGAAGAAAAAGTGTCTCTATGTGAGGTAAAATGTCAAAGAGTGCAGAATAGTCAAAAACACTATTGAAAACACGAAAAAATTTGTTGCTTCCTTAAATTTATACAGGGGTACCAAAAATTGCTGGTCTATTTAACTATTTATTTTATATAAAAACTTCGTTATTTCAGATACAACACTTTTATATTTATATTTATAAAACATTTTTTAAATCAGTCGAAGCAGATTCAAATGCTCTTTCAAACTATATTAGGGTTTCCTATACCTATCTAGCTCAGATTTTGAACAAAGAGCAATTTTTCAATAAAATCGCAACCAAGAGTGGTAGTGTCGTCATGGCAAGTTTCTAGTGACAATTAGTAACTATTTTCAAAATCGAAATTAGTTTATGGACTATATTTAAATTTATACTGTTTACTTTTATTTAATTTACCTACAATAGTTTAATAAGTAATATTTATTAAATATGTATTTATTATTCTATCCAGAAAAACCGAGAAGTAGTTCTTTCTTTTATTTTACGATGACTTGTAGATATATGGATTTTCTATAAAAGAGGCAATTACAGCAAATTGATTTTCTTCACGTCCAACCACAGGTTTCTGCCCAATAGTTTTTTTTTATAAACTACACTACCAACTCTGCGAAATAGGACAAGTAGTTTTTCAAAGGAAGGCTTATCAAGATGATTCCTATTTGGATATCTTTGAGCATAAGCTCTTGAGGCCAAGAAGCAATTTTTCTCACAAAATAAAATCACTAGTAACATGTCCATTCGTTCAGCCAGCAGATACTACTTTATATTTCTTGATAAAATAATGAATACTTACTTATTAAACTATCGTGGGCAAATTTAAGTAAACTATTATAAATCTGAATAATAATGTCCATAAACTAATGCCGATTTTGAAAATAGTTACTAACTGTCACTAGAAAATTGTCATGGCGATACCAGCCATCTTGATTACCATTTTATTGAAAAATCGCTTTTTATTTAAAATCTGAGATAGATAGGTATAGGAAACCCTAATATAGTTTGAAAGAGCATTTGAATCTGGTTTGATTTGTTTTAAAAAATACAGGTTGTTGTATTTGAAATAACGAAGTTTTTATGTAAAATAAATCCTTAAAATAGATCTGTACTTTTTGGTACCCCTGTATAAATTTAAGGAAGCAATAACATTTTTCAGTAAAGTTTATTTCTTTACCTTTAAACTCAGCACAAGAATTAATTCTGAAATGTAATGTACAGGGTGTTCATAATCAATTATTCTATTGTAGCAAAATAAAATTACACTAAATCACCACAATACACCAAAACACTTTTACTTTTACACTGGACGCGCGTTTCGCTAACCATGTTAGCATCATTAGCTTATCAGTTTATAATCATCTGCTGATGATGCTAACATGGTTAGGGAAACGCGCGTCAAGTGTAAAAGTAAAAGTGTTTTGGTGTATTGTGGTGATTTAGTGTAATTTTATTTTGCTGTGTAACACCAAAGGTTCCAACCCTCAACTGTAATATTCTATTGTAGCATGCATATTTAAATATCCTTAAACATCTGAAAAACCAAAGATTTTAAACATATTTAACCCTTATAATAAATGCCTTTTTTGGTTCCAAGAATCCAAAAATGAAATAAAATACCGGGTGTGTTGCATAAGAAAATATATAACTCTGGTATGGATCTTAGTTCTGAAACACCCTTCAAAATTCAATTAAAAAATGTATATTATAAATCTGCTGATAAGCCTGGAATCTCCGGCTCCCGGAAGAATTCGTCTAGCGAGTAATAGCCAAAAAATAGCGAGTAATAAGTTTGATATAAAGAATTTCTTTAAATTAATCTTATTTTTTTTTGGTTTAAGTTCAGAGTGTTGAATTCGACCACCTCTTCTCAGTTTATTTATTAGACACCTTCTCCCAAATATTGATGTGTTGTGTTGTCGTACAGCAAGGCGAGAATATGAGACATCAAATTCATCTTTGTATTGAGGGTATTGAGAACTTCCCGCCGCCTGGATAATTCAT